GGGTGAAAACGTGCTGAGCTTTCGTCCATAATATGAAGGACATCATCAGAGCTGGGTGTCATTCTTGTAAGAGTCTCACGTTAACACTAGACCAACGAATCTCTTCTTCGTACACTTTCATACGAAATAAAAGTCCCCCCAACAATATGGCTGAAGCCAAGTATCATAGCGCTTAAACCAAGGATTTACAGAAAATTTGTTATAAGATATATACATACATATATATATCCATATATTTTCGTCTTCTAGTGATATATATATATATACTAGCTGGGTCCACCTCATAAGTTATATATATATATAGGTTATGAGGTGGACCCAGCTAGTCTTCTTCGCTTAATTTTAACTTGTCGGTTCTTCAATAATGAGTTACACTTCCGACGATATCTATCATATGTTGGACGAAGTTCAAACCGTTCTCCCTAACAAAAGGAGGATATTTCGTGAACGGCGTCAACCTGAATGTCGTAATATAGTCAAAGGACCGTAGAAAAATGGGAACCGGTATTCTGCGTTAGACCGACCTACGAATCTCTTCAACCAAAACCTTCGCATGAAATGACCCACCACAATACTAGATGTATCCCAAAGTCCACGGAAGTTTTTATCTGTCTACAGTTTCCACATCACGCTTGTATTTCTGAAAAGCGGTGATATTTTTGAAAGCTCTTTGGAAGACTTGAGTAGAATGTCCTTAAAAGTAATATGAAATTATTGAGGCTGTAAGCCCTTAGAAAATTCATTGTTAGTATCGTATATATCTTACACCATATTCCGACGTACTGCCACTATATATATTAATTCGAGAAGCCTCTTAATTTTCTCGGATATCTTTGTTAGTTTTCTATTCTTTTCATCGGTAACGGGTACGACTCATACTAGGCGGTTATTTCACCTTCTAAAATATGTTTATGCTTCCTCACTTGCTACTCCTCCATATCCTCACTGCCTTTTATTTCTCACCCCCATAACCCCACTCTGTACGCGGTTGTTTGTGTGAATGTGTGTATACATCTTCAAATAGCCATTCTAACAAACCATCTGCCCTTGTACACACCCTTTCGGGAGCAAATTTCTTCCCCATCATCTGCGTTCACCAGCTCTTATCCGTTTAGCTCTAGCCTAAAGAGCGGAATTATTAGCAGCCCTGCTTCCACGATTACCACCACTACTGGTACTAGTGCACCTAGTGCTTTCAGTACGTCAGGTTTCTTGACCAAAGTTACGACCACGGTAACCACAACCAGCGGACTCAGCTCATCGGGCTTGGCTTCAGAATCATCTGCCCCCCCTCCATCAACACATCATCCAAGTTTGCCACATGCCTATAGTCTAACTGGATACAACATGGCCCATACCTCTGCTCCCCTCGCCAGCGCTGAAATAGCCTCTTTCAGTCAAGTTTCTCCTTACCCTCTTGAGAGTCATATTGGCCCACAGTTCGGTCTTGTCGGGAGTTATGCTAGCACTCGTTCAGCACTTTTTGGGCCCACAGAGATAACTGAAACTGGTGGTTCAGGGTGTTCTAACATGCAAGCGGTCGCAGGACCCCAGTCTCTGGGCTTCCCCTCTTCCACTTTTTCAAGCGCTCAAGGCTCTGCACCTTGTGTCTCTCCTGCATTTTATCCATCTGTCTCGGCGGCCTTTAGCTTGGAGAGCTCGATTCCCAACAGTTCCGACTTGAGTTTTGGCACTTCCAGACAACCTACTCCACTATCCAGAACAGCCTCTCTTCAGCAGCCTCAACAACAATATTCTCTTGCAGGAAAACTCGCATCCCGCGGCTCTTGCAGGGAAGGCACTACCAGTGGTTCTCTTGGTTTTGCCTCAAATGCACCAATTTCTTCAATTACAGCAAGTAGTTTTTTCCCTAGTAGTAATAGTAGTATAATGGAAAGCAATGTTAGGCACAGCAGTCAATCCTCCACCCCATCCGCTGCTTCCACTTCCACCTATTTGGGTATAGGTGGCCATTTGACGACTGCTATAACAGCACCGAATCCTTCTGTCGCCTCTTCAGCTTCTTCTGGTATATCGGCCAATTCTAATACTGCCTCACTGTCATCAATAATCAGCTCGTCGGGGCGCCCGACAGTAGAAGAGTTAGAGACGTCTGTAAGTAGCATATGTTCAACTTCATCCGCGCCATCCACCACCTCGACACCTACTTCGGTTGTGTCGACCGGAGGAAGTGGAGTCAGTGCCTTGGCTAGCTTAAGCGGAACCGGAGTGGGGGGTGCCATGGTAGGTGGATTAAAGAAGTTTGTCACAACTGGCAGTCACCATCTGCAACAACAATGGCAGAGTATCGCTGCTTCAACCTCCAGCTCATTCACTGCACCAAATGAGCCCAGCTCATCTTCGCCATCGTACACCGTGGCAAACTCATGTGGCGTTGCCAACCCTCTTTGGACTGTCAGTTCTAGTGACACCGCTTCTCTCAGCCCAGGATCATCGTCAGTGCCTAGTCTTATGGAGCCGAACAGTGCACTGTCTAGTCTGGTAATAGGTCGGCGCAGACTCAAGTTGTCTACACAGCCTGGCTCAAATCGCCCATCTGAATCTAGTCAGGCAGCTTTGGCCTCTTTGGCACCGATCTCTCAACCCGTCAACCTCGAGCCCCGCCTTCTTGACCTTGAAGACTGCAACTTTATTGATACAGATGCTGCAGGTTGGTTGAATACTAGGAAAGAGATATAAAATTAAAGGAAGAGAAGCAGAGAAGAAAATTGAACCGAGCCTTAATGCACGTTTGGCCTCGGACCACCGGTTTTCCTGCATGAACTAGATCCAGCTGCATGCGCTTCACTAATACTCACGTCTCTGACCAGCCCATGACTGCTGTCTTTAATATTTTCACCCAATACATTCTCATTAGTCTCCTATGTATGCGTGTATGTTTGGCTGAAACTGGAAGAACCTATCACCATGCTAAATTCGAGACACATTTGGCCATGTAATCAACAGCTAATGCATGCAATTTTATAAAGATATAATGTTACTGTTTGCTA